TTCACGAAAAAAAGAAGCAAAAATGACCAAATGAATCAAAGAGAAAGTTCAGGGACCAAAGTGCAATTATTTGAAAGTTGATCAGATGGATACATCAAGCAATTAATCGAGCAAAATACCAATTGGAAATCATAATGAAACATTGGAACAACTAGAAGAGGAGGTCAAGAAGTGAAGGAATGAAATTTGAGGACCGACATGACATAACTTAAAAGTTTGTTCTACTATGCGGTCACATGCCTATTCGATCGCATAGGTTATACCTATCGGTAGCATAGGTATATTTTGGGGGCCGATTCTGCAGTTTCCTATTCGCGATAAAATTCTTATGGAAACCTAATCTATACGCGATATAAATACTCAAATTTGTCAGAAACAAGAGGAGAACGCATTGAGAGGCAAGAAATCACATATTGGAGAGGATTTTGAACGCAAGTAACGAAAAATTGCACAAGAATTTTCAAGATTTATCAAGTATTCATAATCCGATGATGTTCTTTCTTCAAGATCTGATGTATTCTTATAGTTTATCAATATTAGGCTAGATTTTCATGTACTAGGAGATCGATGTACCATGTGATTTGATCTTTAATTTTCTAGTTTTACAATTTGACATTAAAGACACGTTTTGATTGTTTTGAATGATTTATATGCAATTTTTGTTTCCGCAATTAAGGGTCCGTATTTGTGTGAGTTTAGGTGGCTCATTATTGCATTCGAGAGAATTGGAATATGTTTGACATAAGATAAATCATCGTATGATCCGATAGGGGATAGAAATATACCACTATGCCCTATGCGAATTTTTAAGTGTTCTCAAGACCGCATGCATTTTTATATATGCACTTGTCATAGAAATATAGGTCGGTGTTATGTAAAAATAGGTTCGACACATCTTGAGAGAGAGTATTGGATAGATTAGAAGCACTGATTCGTTAATAATTTAAGTATGTTGTCACATTGTCAAATTAGGGTTAAAGTGATAATTGTATGGGAAATCGTGATCTTAGTGTTTTTAATTTCCATTGAATACAACCAATTCACACTCTAACATATAATTTGCATTTTAATTCATTAAAATATCGTTTTGCATGCTTGAATTCATTCTAATATTCAATTTTGCATAATTAGGGTTTTCATAAAATCAGGGTTTTCATTTTAAAATTAGAATTTATTTTGGTAGATATTCATATTGAGTAATTCGTTTCGGTTAAGGTTATACTAGGTAAAATTGAACTACTCAATCTTTGTGAGACGATATTTGAACTCTAAAAATTCACTTTATTACTTGTTAACAAACCGTACATTTGTAGTGATTTTAACTGAAAGAAAATATATCATGAACAATTCACACCCCTTGACACAAGTCAAACACTAAACACAAGTAACCTGTACCTGTAAATACCAGTGTACCTGTAAATACCAGGATCTGTGCAACACTAAGATTCGAGCAAGAAGCAGTGAAAAAAAATGTTTCTTTGTGGATGAGAGCTTTTATTTTAGCACCAAATTATTTCCAATTCGTTCCAGTCTGAGCAACAAATGTCATTAAAATCTTTTACACTCAGCAATTTTATTTTATTATATTTATTTATTTATTTATTATTATTATTATTATTTTTTTTTTTATTTTATTTTTACCATAATTCAATATCAGGGAGTCGAGTTCTAAATTCTTCCTGTCCAACAATATTTTACACATCCTACAACTAGACAAACATTCAAGGTAAATTACATTGGAAACAATCCACTTAATTTCATTTTTCTAAATGTCATCAAGATTAAAGAAACAATTAACTATCATTACACGATTCTTCACAGAGTGGTGTCACAGTGGACAATCTAACCCCAAAGGTGACACACAATTTTTATACTGACTCAATTCAAAACTGAAGCCATTATCCGCACCCGTCCTCCATGATTGAATTCCTGTATGCTGACTGATAGTATTGCACCTGAACAACTTTTCGCTCCACTATCTGCATTAAACCATCTAACGAGACTTGAGTCTCATTCTTGAGTTGGATTCCCGACTGCTCCTTTTCACCAATTCAAGTGTCTCTCCATAAGAATGACTGCCCTCACCAACCATGGACAGAGAGTGACCTTTCCTTCACAACTTCTCGTCCAATTCAGAAAGCTGTCAAATACAACATAAATGTCAAAAACAGGACCAATTACTTTAAAATGTCTTTGACTAGAATCACAAATCCAGGACATATTCATTTTGTAACTCAGGAAAACAAGTATATTCAACATTATATATTTTAAATAAAAATAAATAAAAAAATAAAATTATAAGTGCCTTGCTTTGGATTACATATTAAAACACTGTAATTTCGAGAGAGAGATAAAATTTATAGTCTAATTAGAGGAAACAAATCCTTCCATAAATAAGAATCCTTTTAGTGATGGAGGATGATAATATGAACATAAGCAGACTTATTTTTGTGCGTATGAGATGAATAATAAGCATCTTGAAAGCAGCATAACTGCAAGTTCATCATTCTAAAAAACAATGCAACATACTCATCATTATATGAATCAGAAATAATTATAATAAACTTTTAATTTGATGAAGAATTCATGAAAAGCCCTGTGAATAATGCTCAAAGTTGATAATTCAGTAAACCATTAAGTTCATGTCCACCATATCCTTAACTAACATATCATCTATAACGAGAGTGAGAAAATTTAGTAATAATTGCCAAGTTTTGAGTTAAAGTAATTGGATACTTTAAAAGGTAAAGAAACATCAAAAGTCAACTATAATATACAAACAAATTAAAATACTAGTAACAGTCAGAGCATTGCATAAACAACTCTACACATGACCACCAATTAACACAGGAAATTGCAAGCAAGAATTTAGGATAGACCACTACTTGTCAGGTTGCATAATTACAATCCTACAATTGTCAACAGCATAGGATGAAAATCGCAGCCATGTGATTGGTATCCATATCTACATTCAAAGCTGAAAGCTTTACAAAGCAATCCAAACTTTTAAACCAGTCTCATCAATAAATCATCCATTACAGTAGCTCACTACTAAATAAGAACGAGTTTTAATGTTATTCCCTTCTCTTTGTATTTTAACCATATACAGTGGGCTTTTTAACTCTGTCTGACTTAATCAACGCATCAACATATGAGTTACATAAATAAGCATTAGGTATGCACCCATTTGCTTCCATTGAGAAGAGCAATTCATTAGCTTCATGATATCTTCTGGATTTACACAAAGTTTTGATAAAAGCAATGCAAGTAAAATTATCAGGATGCAAATCCAGTGTCAACATGCTTGTAAGAAGCCTTAGCGCCTTCTCAACTTTATTCATTCTACAAAAACTTTGAATTAGAGTATTAAAGGAGTAAACATCGTGCTGTTCCATCATCTTGCATCTTTCTCTATAGTTCCATAGGTTTAGAAACATCCCCCGCAATGCAGAGTGAGTGTATTAAAACATTGTATGTAATAGCATTCAGAGTGACTCCCCACTCTTATCATTTCTGCGGAACACTCGAAAGCATCAATAATCTGGTTCACTTGGCAAAGGCCATCGATTATTGAGTTAAAAGTGAAAATATCCAGTTTAAACCCACGCCAAATGAGCATCAGCAGCAACTCTCGTGCCTTGACGACATATCCAATCTTGCAATGCCCACAATAAGGGTACTATAAGTAACAAGCCTGGGGAGAATATCTCTTTGGCTCATCCTTGTGAAGGTTTCTGATGTTCTGTCCATCATTTTGGCCTTGCAGAAACAATCAATCATCATGTGGTATGAGCATACATTTACAACAAGTCCATCCTGGAGAACCAGACTTAAATATTTATTTCCCGTGCCTTCTCTTCCTGACTTGTACAAAGTTTCGACAAGCGCAACACAAGAATTGAAATCTACCTTCATAACTTGCTTAAGAAAAGAATCAAATATCTGACATGTTTCATCAAGATCCAATCCCTTAATAAAACAGGAAATTGCAATGTTAAATATTGAAATATCAGGATTATAAACTTGTTCTGCAGCCTTTTCAAAAATACAGCTGCATCTCTCGGCATAGAATTATTACAAAGGCAAAAAAGTACGTTATCATAAACCACTTTAGGCAAATCGGGCTCCATATCCACCCATCTCGATAACAACTTAAGTGCTTTATGAGCAGGCACAGAACGAAATACCCAATTCACAAGTGATCTATATGTCACATCATTCAGTTTTACATTCCCTTTCTTCATTCTATCAAGAAACCCAAAAGCCTCGTCTACTCTTTTGGTATTGCAATACCCATCTATTAAGATGGTATAAGTAAACACAATGGTTGAATATTTAACCCCTTCATTTGTTTACTAAGCAAAGAGCCTCATCTACCACACCAATCTTACAGACTCCATGGATGAGGATGTTATATGTAAACCTATCAGGAACATAAACATACACCTCCATTTACTGAAACTTAAGGTAAGCCACTCTAGCGAATTCGACTTCAGCAATGCATCAATCAACGCATTATACAACCTAGTACTAGGAGTAAGGCCCAGATAAGAAATCTGATCAAAAAAATCCTGAGAAACTTTGCACCAACAGTTCCTAATGTCCTCTATCAATTCTGCAGACAATAAAACCGGGCCTTTCCTATAAAGGGAATTGCCTAAAACACAGAGAATCAGATGATTATTCGTGAATTGGGGGCAGATATTTGAAACCTAAATATAAAATCTAAGAAGGTGTAATGGATTTTCTTGATTTTGCAAAATACTAAGTATAACCCGAGTACTCAACATGGTCCCATTGTCCTTAAATTCATGGCTTAGCAGCAAAAACCAATCTTTTTCTTGATAGAACTTCAGCAAAGTATTGATGATCAGGGCATTCCATCAAATTTGTGCTCATTACTAGAAATGTGAGTTCGTGAATCTGAAATTGATTTAAAGTTTGAGTCTTTGAATTGAGGCTTACCTGTATCAAATATGTAGATATTTCTGGCTTTTTGACCAAGATTGATCAAAGAGCTGAAAATTGAGGGTTTCGAATTTTGAAGTTGTTTCTGCTTGTGAATTCGAAGGTTTGGAATTGCAAGTGACGCCCTAGATGCCAAAGATGAGAACTTTCTCATGGTCTCCATGAGACCATCGCCAATTGAGGTTTGCCTGACTGCTATTACAATTTTCCCTTTTTTTTTTTTTTTATTTGATACAAATTAGAAAAGAGTAAAATATTTATTTTAATAATAAGTAAGAATTACTATATAAAAAGAGTTACACTTGAATACAAAGTAATGCTATGTATTATCGCATCACTAGCATACAACATTATTCAGAGTATAACGAAAAATGTTACTAGATGTAGGAAAGAACAATTTGTGACCTACAAAAAAGATCAACTATTTCGTGTTTAAATTTGAGGAGAGGAAACCACTTCCTTCTTGAACTTTGTGAAATGGGATGGTTTACTTCGGATTTATATCAACTAGAAAAATAAAATTCTTTGTTCAATTTTATTTTTGCATCAACAACTAATAAAAATTTGATTGTAAATATGTGTTTCCCTTTGAGGCTTGAACTCATGTATATATATATATATATATATATATATATAAATTGAGAATTTGAAGAGTTATTACTTGTTTCATTCATTAAGGAAATTTGTTGCATTATTTAAAAAGAAAAATGCTATTTATGTCCATTATAGATATTATCCATCTATGTGACATGTAATCTGCTATGAAATATGAGGTCAATTAAATGTATAAATATGAGACTCATTTGATCAATCTTATCATATAATATCATATCGTCATATATATATATATATATATATATATATATAAATTGAGAATTTGAAGAGTTATTACTTGTTTCATTCATTAAGGAAATTTGTTGCATTATTTAAAAAGAAAAATGCTATTTATGTCCATTATAGATATTATCCATCTATGTGACATGTAATCTGCTATGAAATATGAGGTCAATTAAATGTATAAATATGAGACTCATTTGATCAATCTTATCATATAATATCATATCGTCATATAATGATGATCTCTTATGGAGATAAATTATATTAATTACTCATTTAAAAATGTTATGATAGCTCGAAGTTTTTAGAAATTTGGATGGATGACATTTATTTTTTTTCAACAAGTCTACACAAAAGATTCGTCCATTTAACAATCATACATACATTACATTATATATGTGTGTATTAGGCATGAAAAAGTATTGCTATTCTTCTATTTTATTCACATTAAACCCAACTACATTAACTTTCGATGCAATCTAGAGATGACAAGAAGATCCAATCGTCTTGTGGCAGGCATGTAGTTTTGATTACTTATAAACCATAATGTTGTCTTAAATACAACAAACCAATACACTTAGGATCTGCCATAGTTGTCCCTTCCAGATGTACAAGCAGGCTTTCGAGGTGGTAGTTGCTGGTGTGGTGTTCTCTGCACAGTGATTATGTTAATTATATCATTCAATTAATAACGAATAAATACTTTTAAGTGCTTATTCGGACAGTACGTAATGCCCAATAGGGTCGGGAAAAAAGCTTGCTCTTAATAGTCTTAGCATACTGTTAGTACATAATCTTAGCTATTTAATTATGGAAAATGCTCTTCTACCATACCTGTAAAAGGTCTAGTAGAGGCCTCCTCTCCCATTTTCTCTCATCTCGATGGGCCCCATGATTAAAAAAAATACCCCCCCAAAACCCACCCCACCCCAAACTGTGAGAGAGGCTGCACTATCAGGCCTCTTACAAATCTAGTAGTGTAGCATGGTCGATTTAATTATTGACTTAACCAAAAAAAAAATAAAATTATATTACCTCTAATTTTGGTTGTAATGTCTCTATAACCACCATTGATTGTTGATCAACTCCTGCACCTTGCTGATAATTTAAACCATGCATTATACTTAAATGGGTGTATTTAATATTTATTGATTTTGAGTCTATTTCAACATTCAAAATCATAATTAGTGAAATATAATAAAATTCTTCATTGAATTCATAATAAAAGTTATGAAATACTCCATTGGGTTGTTAAAATGTGTATTCACTTTAAAAATAAAGAAGAAATATTTATGCAAGGCTTAGAATGTGAGTGTGTGTGTGTATAATTTTATTAATTATTTAACAATAAAATGCTAAAATGACTTTTGGAGTTAATACCTTGCATAAAGCCCAGTCAGCCGAGTCAAAGAAGGCACGTTCATGATCCTGCGTACATGTATTAAACCATTTATAGAAGTAAAATATATAAGATTTTAACTTCGACTTCCTTTTCATATGTTCCAATATCATAAGCTATTTGATTTAAATTAAGAAAAATCAATCATGTGTATAAAACAGAAAAAAAAAAAAACCAAATTATAAAAAAGAAAAGAAAAAAGACCACGTGACCAAAGCGTGTTCGTTTTGGCAATAATATATCATCCAACAAAATTTATGAAAATTTTACTTACCTTAGAGATTAGAGGTTTCTTTTTTGGCATTAGGCCTGCATATTTCTTATCAATTGAAGCAACCTGTCATAGAAAATTCATAAAAAGATATTCAAGAGATTAAATTAAATGGTAATTTTGAAAAAAAAAAAAAAGTGTTTAAAAACCTTAATTCTCTTCGAAAGTTAGTAACCTAACAAATCAAGTTGTTATTGACTACTTTTAATGAGTTAAATGAATTTTAGCTTCATGCCTAACTCGGATAGGGTTGCATTTTAAATGTATTTTCGCTAAGATATTTTATCGTTCGACCAAGAAAATTCTCAAATTTAATTGTTTGATAATTGTACTTCAATATTTTACTTTAATAACGAAAAATAAGTTACGTAATTTTACAGTTGAACAATCGTTCTGACTCAACCACATTGATTGCTGGCCAACGTCATGAAAGATGGAAAGAGATAGATTGAAATCATAAAATTAATGCATCATTTATTATGTTAGTTCTAGACAAATTAGTTCTAGAGTAAATAAAAGCATTCTTGTAGAGAAAAAAAATAATCTGAAGACACGTAAAAATATCACGAGGAGTTAATACTGAAACACGTATACTCATACATGCACACATTCATCGATTCATTTACATTATAATCAACTTAAGAGCCTGTTTAGGAGTGATTTTAAAAATTGATTTTTTGATAGTTAGGAGAAAAGTTGGGTCCACATGTGAGAGAAAAAATCAAATATAACAGTTGGAATAGTGAAATAACGGTCAAAAAATCAATTTTTTGAAGGAAAAAATCACTCCCAAATAGGCTCTACATATGTTAGCAATTGCTCACAAAATCATACATTTTATGAAACCAAAATTTAACATAGTTTTGGCAATGGATTGAAATGGATAGAACGATCTAATTTATAAATGATGAGACTCAAGTGATCAAAACCTTGGAATTCATGCTTGAATTTGTATAATTCCAATATAAGTTTCTATGGACATCAAGTAATGGTTTATATTTTCTAAGTTATAAGTGATATGAGAAAGAAAAAATATTGGAAAGTTAAAAGCTCATACACATTAATGAACACGGCTAAATACTTTACCGTCTATGTTACCTGATGAACCATGATTTGTTTTAAGGAATACCTTGTCGTCTGAGGATGATGCATTATACCCTTCACTTCTGTTGTAATCTGCCATCTAATCACCCTATCATATTACTCAAAGTCAGTACCATATGAAAAGTCTGTGAAATGGCTTAGAATATGGAACATCTATATTATGAAAGGGATAAGATAGAATTGCAAGAGGGGGAAAATGGTCAGAAATCAAATAACTAGGCCAAAACAAAAAATAAATAAATAAATAAAAAATGATAGAAATTAAGCAGAATTGGAAAATGGACAAAGAATCTGATATTACCTTCGGTGGAGGAAACTAAAGAAACAAGCAAAGTAAGAGGGGAATAGGTAGAAGAGAAGGAAGAAAAAGATTAGATTTATATTGGGAGGTGGAAGTTTGGAGAGTTGAGTAAGAAGGTAAAACAAGAATATGTATATAGCCCCCAACAAGTTAATGCTAACAAACTAGAAACGATTGGTTGGGAAATGGGGGAGTTAATTGTTCTAATGGTCACTGAATTTTGGTCCATGTCTTTGATTGATCACCTAAGTTCAAAATGTTGAGTTTTGGTCATTGAATTTAGGTCCATGTCTTCGATTACTCATTGAAGTTTAAAAATATCAAGTTTTGCCATTGAACTTTAAAAAATATTGTACATTACTCACTATAAACTCCACATTTTCTAAAATTCAATATTTATGTTGTTGAGTAACCTACAACATTTTTCAAAATCAATGGTCAAAAATTGACATTTCAAAATTCAGTGAGCAATCGAAGATATTGACTTAAATTTGTTGACCAAAACTCGACATTTTTAAATTTCAGTATCCAATCAAAGATATGAATCTAAGTTCAGTGACCATTGGAACAATTAATTCGAACAGAGGATAGAAGTTTAAGAGGGGTTGAGATTTTAATAAATTTTAATAAATCTCGTCAACTTGAATAAATTTTCACAAAATCCATAAGCATCTCATTAAAAATTGTGAAATTTCAAAAGATTTTGTTATTTGTATTTATAAGCTTGAAATACATGAAAATCTTTTAAAATCATTCTATAAATGAAATCCTTATAAATTCTTAAGTTATTGAGGATGCCTAAATTTTAAGGATTCCATTCAAAAATCATTAAATTTTCAATTGGGAACACTTAAATTTTAATGGATTTCCTTAAAATTTATTAGAATATCAATTGGGGACATCTAAATTTAAAAAGATTTTTAAATTTCATCAAAATTTCAATTAAGGGACTAAATCAGCTCGAGTTATTTTTGGAGTGATCGCTTGTACTTTTCTATAGGTCGATCCAAACGAGCAAGTGCACAAAATTGTGAGTCAAGTATATGGATACCACTAGACCCATCACGTCATTTTACAGGCTTTAGATCGATTGGTTTGAACTTCACTAACCGTTCAAGCTATCCTTAAAATTAAATGTGAGACTATTTATTGTGCATATTTTAATAAATGGTGAAAATACAAAAAGCATTAGGGTTTTTATTCCTCAAATTAAATGGTACAAATATAGAACTATATTAATTATATGTGTATATTGTTTGTTAAATTATGTTGCACAAATCTAAAAATCACTTTTGTTAAAGTGAGTTCAACAATATAACTCCTTTTCATTTTCACTTTTTTCGGTTCTTTTATGGTTATGTTCAAATCCAATATTAGAAATAATGTTTTTCATCACCTAATTTAATGATCAAATGTCACGTTCCAAATATATAAATCTTAAAATCAATTCAAAGATATCAATTTTATAGCATTTATGAGATGAAACAACATAATTCATTTCAACTGTTACAGATCAAATACACTTTTGTAAAATTATAACAAATACTTAGCGTTATAAGTACAAAGCTTATGTAATTTTTCCCAATCCCACTAATGTATTAGTAATTAAGACTTGATTTCTTCCGTAGAAGCAATGAAAGAAGTCAAATGTTCAGTATGACAGTATGTCACCAATATGAAGATTATGCCCACCCAACAAAATTCTTCGAATTCTGCCATGCTTGAATGCTTGCACACATCAATATCAACCATAACTCTCTTTTGACCCACTACTACATGAACTTTTTTGAATGCAACTTACTGTTCTTCCGATGAATGTTTTCCGGTTAAAAGTGTTTGAATCCAATGTTTTCCACATCAACGTGTACACTCGAAATGAGTGAATCACACTATGGTGTGACCCTTACATCATGGCTTAGCATGGTAGAATTTTTGGATGTGTTTAAGGTTGTAAGAAGAATTGAAATGTGGAAATTACATACAACCAGTATTTTAAACTTTTCAATTCTAAATTAAGATGTACAAGCTTTTTTTTTTTTTTTAAAAACAAATCAGATGGTAATTAAATTTTTAATAATTTAATTTTTATAAAAATAAAGTTAAACACCCACCCACACCCAGATTCCAATTCCCAAACCCTAAATCTCTCTCTCTCTCTCTCTCTCTCTCTCTCTCCCCTATCTTGGCCCTCGTTATTTTTCCTTCTCTCTCTACGATAGAGGGCACAACATTTACCACTAGATGCGGCGGTGATTGTCGCTGGGAATTGGGCAAGATCTATCACCCTTTTCTTCAGATTTTGGCGAGGAGCTACTCCAAGAAATGTTGATGTGGCGGCATCATGAGCGACGTCGCTCAAAGAGCGAGGTCACTCAAAGCAGTTACGCAGCGACGACGGCGCCGACTGCGTGCATTGCCACTGCAGCCCAAGTCGTAGGTTGGCGGAGTTGCAGTGACGGGTTTAGTTTTTTGATCTTTTGCCTCCGTGGTGGTTTTTGAAGGTGGTGTTTATTGTCATCGTCGTTGTTGTGGTAATGATGGGTGTGACTTTTCGATCTACTGCCGTCGTGGAGGTTTTTAGTGGTGGTGTTGGTTATTGTCGTCGTCGTTGCAGTGGTTGTCATTGTCCCTATTATTGCAGCTGTGATTTTCGATTTGTTTTGTGATGGTGTTGTCGGGATCTGGGAAAATGTCGAGATCTGCTGCAGCGACGAACGACATTGCAGTAATAATGTGAGCTGGTGGCAATTTTCATGAGGGGATGGCAATGCTAATTATTTTTTGAGGCATTTTGAAGATTGTCCATTTTAGGGGTGTGAGTTGAGAAGTGTCATATTTTGATAATCGTCGCAAAAAATGTCCAATTTTCATATCAAATTGTCTGTTTTACCCTCATGAAAAGATTAAGCAATCTTATATCAATTTGACACAATTTTTAAGAAGAGCAAATAGTTTTTATGAGAAGTCAAAATAATGTTGTTATTAGTGAGTTCACTTGTCTACATTTTTAATTAAATTTTAATCAATTATTTTAAAACAAATGAAAAAGAAGTAGAATTTCCATTAAAAAATACAAAGGAATATATGATTTCAACTCTAAAGAAATCATTTTATTTCATGTGGAGATTTACCGTCGTCGAAATTTGAAGTTGATTAGGTTCTCATCATTTCTCGGTCGAAAGTATATTTCTTTGAACTCTCATTTTTTTTTGATAAATTGTATTTAGTAGTTGTTATATATGTTTAAATCTCATTTTTTTGATAATGTATTTTTTCACTTCAATAGATGAAATTATCTAAATACAGAGTAGATATTTGTTGTATCATTTATCTTAAATAGTTTAGTTAGATAATATACTTCTATATTTAGAATATCATTTATGCTAGAATAAATTTTTGCAAAAATGGTGGTTGAAGTTGAAGAAAATGTTAAATGCATGAAATCTCGTCATTTCATTCTTGACAATTTATAAATATCGATAATGATAGTATAATTGTCGTTCTCAACATTTATAAATATCGAGAATGATATTTATACTATCATTATCGATACTGTCAAATGTTGACAATAACATTAAAAATTTGACTAAGTTGGGAAAATTTTGTGTATAGTGTTTCACTTATTGCATGCAGGTAGCATCTTCGTTTTCAATTTTCGTTAGTGACTGAGATTATTGTTGTTTATGGTATGCAAATATGGGAGATGTTAAGAGATTTGTTGTTTTGTATGGTGGTAGATTCCTCAACATGGACGATGGGTGGAAGTGGTTAGGGAACCGAACAACATCAATTGTTGTTTGACATGGTATTATAAATGAAGAGCTTGAACATAAATTATTTGAGAAGCTAAATATTGACAGAATGAAACTCCGAATTCAATTGAAATTTACAATTCCGAACATGAATATATCTCCTGCTAATGTAGCCGACGATGAGGATATGCAATGGTTTATGTCTGTTCACACAGAAGCGGCGTTGTGTGTAATTGCAGATGAATATAATGCCGGAGAGCACGAATTGCATGTTGAAGTTGAGCATTTCTCACCAATAGAAGATGCATTGTGTGGAAGCGACGAAGTCGGTATGTGCGAACTACAAGAGCCACGAACAATTGATAATACGGACGAAGGTTTAGGTGAAGGGAATTTGTTAATTCGAAATGCAATTCAGTCGATTGATGAAGAGGACATTGTGGAGAATCAGATATTCTTTAGCAAGTAACAGTTACACACAAGGCTTCAACTTAAGGTTTTGAAAGAGAAGTTTCATTTCAAAGTTAAAATGTCGAATCCTAGATCTCTTACTGTGTGTTGTGTCGATACTACATGTCATTGGCTAGTGCGAACTTCTAAGATAAAAACTTTAGAAATATTTAAGATTCGAAAATACATACCTGAGCACACATGTTCTTTAGACATTCGACGAAATACACAAATTTACTCAAGAAATGCAGTAATTGGGCATCACATAATGCGAAGGTTGGACGATGCAAACCAATCATACGTTCATGCGGTATTATTGGGGATATGGAACATGAGTTTGGTGTATGGATTACTTACAACAAAGCATGGAGGGCTAAAGAGAACGGACTTCGATTTCTTTGTGGTATACCCAAAGAAAGTTTTCAGAAATTGCCATCATACTGTCACGTGTTTACGAAGAAAAATCCAGGAGCTATTGCACACATTGAACTCGACTCGAATAACAGGTTCTTGTATTTCTTCTTAGCGTTCGGGCCGAATGTATGTGGTTTTCGAGAGTACATGAGATCAGTAATTTGTGTTGATTGAAGTCATTTAAAAGGCCAGTATAAGGGAACACTACTAGTAGCTACAGAGCAAGATGCTAACCTACAAATATCATTATGGTATTAGTTCTTCGCGAAATTGAA